ATTCAAATAGGTCAGAAGGAGGCTCCGCCATGTGGCACAAACCGGAGGTGACAAGACCATGACAGCGCTGAGGGTCAAGGCTCCACATGCAGTGATTATTAGGATTACTGTAGACTGGGTGAGAATGCTATAGTGGGAAGCACGGGGTGCTGCTCGGAGCTGGGGTGCTAGCTTTGTGCACTCAGGCAAGCCTTGAGCCTGTTTCTCACCAGTAAAATGGGATCATGAACCCTAATTTGTGAAGGTGAGGTGCGGGCACTTGAGTAACATAGTAACAGCCACTAACATTGGGTGCATGCCCACTATGTGCCAGGGATGAGGCCAAGAGTTTTCAATGCATAATCTCATGTAATCCCCACCATAGCCTGTGGAAGTAGGGACACTGCCCCCCACCCGTCACAACACACACACAGGAAATGGAGGCATAGAGAAGTAAAGTGACTTGCCCAATGTCACACAGCCAGGAAGTAGTAGAAACTGGGATTTGAACTCAGAAGGTCTGATTCCAAAGTCTACACTCTATGGCTTCCCTATTGCAGGTGCACGATGCATCTATGTGGGAGGCATGACTTACTATTATTAGGGCCTTAAAGAGTCAGCATGGGGCCTGTCACCACCCTTGGGCTAGGGATGGTAGTGGTGTGTGGGAGGGGTAGGGGGCGGGCACTCACGGGGATGCTCTCCATTGGGGCAATGGCTTGCAGTGCACACACCTTTTTGGCTCATCCCAGACACAATGTCTCCCCTACATCCTGCCAGGGACTCTGGCCACCCCTCCCCTCTCTGGCAGGTTTGGGAGAAACGGACTTGGAGTTCCCCCATGCTACACTGGGGAGGGCTCCTCATCTCGTGAGGCTGACCCTGCTCTGGGGGCCAGAGGCAATGAACCAATTAATGACCAGCTCGGAGTTACTAATAGCAGCCTGTGGGACTGTGTCATCTAGCTGGTGACTCAGGGCTCCAGGATCAGCCCCCTCCCTTTCCTGATGGGGCCTCTACTTAGGTAAGGGGCTTGGATTCCAAGCCATGACCTCTGTCAAGGTTGTGGGGTAGGAGGCTGAGGGTGACCTGGGGGTATATCGGGCTGTCTGCCTCTTCTCCCAGGGCCTTGGCCAAACTCTGTAGTGGTATTGGAAGGAAGGTGGGGGAAGTGGGGAAGGGGATGTGGTAACCAAAACCACTTCCTGCCACTGCTCTGTTGAAAGCTAAGCTCTCCCCAAGTTCCCCTTGATGAGGGTGGAGGAGCCAGAGGGCAAAGGAGGAAGTTGGGGGTGAGGGGCTGTTGCTTGGACTGACTCCGGGAGTCAAGCTCTGGGGTTCCTGGCTGGGGGCTCACTCCCTGCTCCCCAGAGGGTCTAAAGGGCCAGCTGGCCCAGAGGCAGTCATAATTAGCTACCAGCAAGCATTTATTACCAGTATCAGGCACTTTTTGCTAACTCATTTGATCCTTACAATAACCCCATGAGGTAAGCACTACTATTACCGCCCATTTTACAGATAGGGAAACAGAGGCAATGAACCAATTAAACTGACTTAATACATTAAATCAGTGGCAGAGCTGAGACTTGACTCAATGGCTCTTAGCCATCACTCTATCCTGCCTCTTAAGTGGCTCCCTTTCCTACACGCTCTGTCCCTGACTCACTGTGAGCTAAGAGAGGTTACTTCTCCACTCCAGGCCTCAGTTTTCTCATCTGCACAATGGGGGTAATTGGAGCAGCTAAGCACACCTCCCCTTTTATGATGCCTGTCTCTCAGGTAATTATTTACTTATCCAATTTCTCCTCTACTGGATTCTCCACTCCGCGAGTCCGGGGACAAAGGATATCTGTATTCTCAATCTTTAGCACAATATCTGGCCCATAAAAACTCAAATCTTTGTTGAGTAAATGGTCTTTAATGCTTTGGGGATCAAAACTATGAGCATGTGTTAAAAGTTTTGGAGGCTTTGAGTAGAAAAATCAATGTATACCAGTAGTTCTCAATCAGAGGTGATCCTCCGCCCCACTCCCCCCCACAGGAAACATTTGGCAATATCTGGTGACATTTTTGGTTGTCACAATTGATGGAGGGGTGTAGGTGCTACTAGCATCTAGTGGGCAGAGGTCAGGAATACCGTGAACATTTTATAATGCACAGGACAGCCCCTCAGAGAATTATCTGGCTCAAAATGTCAATAGCGCTAATGTCGACAAACCTGACACATATTCATAGGTGTGACATTTTCCTAAAGTCTACGTCTGCCACCCAGAATAAGCCCTCCTGGATTGGGGCATTTCCATCTCAGAAATCATACCGTTCCATGACTCCACACTGCCAAGTCTGGAAAATAGGCCCCCTGGTTCCCCTATTCTAGCCTCTGATTCCTCAAAGGCCAGAGCATCCCCACTTATCCAAAGTGGGTGGCATAGGATCAAAGGATGATCCAAGTTTCAAGTCTCCCCTGACTCCCATGTCAGTTTTCTGTAAATGGTGGTTGTTTTTGTTGTGTGCCCTTGAGTCCGAGGCAGTATCACTACGGAAGTAGATTGCCCCCCTTCCTTCCTAGGAGAGGCTGGTGGGTTTGAACCGCCAGCCTTCTGGTTAGCAGTCAAGTGCCTTAGCCACTATGCTACCAGAGCTCCCCTGTAAATAGTAATAAAGATGAAAAGCTCAGGCTTCGGAGTCAGGCAGCCCTAAGCATAAATCCTGGTTCTGTATATTAACTGGATGTGTGATCACAGACAAGTTCCTTAATGCTCTGAGTTAAATGGTTAACCCCTCAGCTGCCAGCTGAAAGGTGGAGGTTTGAGCCCACCTAGAGTTGCTGCAGAAGAAAGACCTGGCAATCTACTTCCAAAACAACCAGCCATTGAGAACGCCGAGGAGCACCGAGCTGTTCTACACACGTGCAGAACTGACTGGACAGCAGCTGCCTCATGGATGGTGGTGTGAGTGAAATGAGGGCCTTGTCGAGAGCTTACCAGTGCTCAGCACAGGACATCTTAAAAAATGGTCATTTAGCATTATGATCACAGCTTCAAGGGGAAGGGACTTCCCCAAGGTGACATAGCTAGAAAATGGCAGAGCTGGGATTTGAAAACCAGGACTGTGGTCCTCCAAAGCAGAAGCTCATCAATTAGTGACTTTCTGAGCTTCAATTTCCCTCAAAGGAAGTTAATGGTCTCCATCGCATAGACTCTTTTATGAGATACCAAAAACCCAACTCATTGCTGTCAAGTCAATTTTGACTCCTAGTGACCCCTCCTTGGGTTTCCGAGGCAGTATCACCACAGAAGTAGACTGCCCAATCTTCCTTCTGAGGAGTGGCTGGTGGGTTTGAACCACCAGCCTTCTGGTTAGCAGTCAAATGCCTTAGGCACGATGCCACCAGAGCTCCTTCTTTTATGAAATAAGTATGTAAAGTGTCTGGCACATAGTAGGCCCTTTAAATATACTTGTTAAATTGTTATCATTATTCTTTCCAAATAAGGCAAGTGTAGACCCTGCCCCATATACTTGGCAGGAGTGGGGGGGGAGGCTGATGGGTAATGACATATTGTATGCTGTCAAGTCGACTCCAAGTCGTAGCTAACCTGTATGAGAGTGAAAGTGCCCCATAGGGTTTTCTAGGTTGTAACTTTTACAAGAGCAGTCTTTTCTCACCAGAGCCTCTAGGTGGGTTCAAACCACTGATCTTTTAGTTAGCACTTGAGTGCTTAGCCATTGTACCACCAAAACTAGTTGGTCAATGGCATACCAAACTCAAATGAAACCCATTGCTGCTGAGTCAATTCTGACTCACAGTGACCCTATAAGGCAGAGTAGAACTGCTCCATAGGGTTTCCAAGGCTGCACATATTTACTAAAGCAGATAGCCACATCTTTCTCCTTCAGAGCGGCTGGTGGGTTTGAACCGCCGGCCTTTCAGTAAGCAGCTGAGTGCCTAACCACTGCGCCACCAGGCCTCCTGGTTAATAGCACAAGTGGTGATAATTGGAGCTGGAACAGGACTGGGGAACTGTAGGATGCTCTGTGATCATACCACCCCTCACTTTTCAGTTGAAGCGTCCAAGGCCCAGAGAGGGGAAGGAATTCACTCCAAGTCACACAGCAGGCTCAAGATCCAGGTCTCCTGATCCCAGGCTGCAATCATGGTGTTGGCCCAGATAATTAAAAGCCATCACAAGGGCTTGCAACGTGTACTATACTAAGCATTTTATGTGTTTGATCTCATTTGATCCTCACTTAAATCTAGGGACAAAGGGCCCTTTTTACAGCTGAGGAAACAAATTCAGAGCAGTGAGGACAGTTGCCCGAGGCATTGAAGGAAGAGCATGAAGCCATGTCAGCTGATTTCCAGATCCCACAAGCCCCCCCTTTACTGCCCTCGAGGATTCAGCCTGTCAGAGACAGGGGCTTGTCCTGGCGGATTTCCCCAACTCCTGTCTAGCGGTGCCCACTCCCTCTGCCCCAGATGGAGTTGGGAGAGGAAGGTGAGTCAAGAACGGTTCCCAGGGAGGAGAAAAGAGGACAGAGCCTGGGGGTGGGGGAGGGGTGTCACAGAAGGACCAAGCGGGCAAGGGGACCACCAGGCTCTTCCGTCCGTCCTCTCCTCCTCCCTTAGGCTTTCCACTTGGGGCCTTCAGACTGAGGGCTGGGGGACTCCTCCGGCCTCGTCCCCCTCCCTGCCTCTCTTTTGTACAGTTCTCACAAGCTCTGCAGTTTGCAAAACCCTCACCCCTCCCTTACGGCCTGCGGTTTCCTGTGGGTCTGGGGTCCTGCCTGACTTGGCAGTGGGGACTGTGGGCAGCGGGGAGAGGAGGTGATGTAAGCCTTTTCTTTGCCTTCTCATGCTGGGACTGCCACACACACACACACACACACACACACACACACACACACACACCGGCCCCTGAGTCAGCCCCTGGCTGGCCAGGAGGGGCGGGGTCACTGATTCAGTTAGCAGCTCCTTAAAGCCCCCAAGAGTCAAGCTGCAGTCAGACACTGCTGCCCTCATCATGAACCCCTGGCAGCTCCTGGTCCTGGTGCTCCTGGTGCTGGGCTGCTGTTCGGCGGCCCCTCAACGGCGTCAACCCACCGTGGTGGTCTTCCCAGGAGACCTGAAAAGCACCCTTACCGACCAGCAGCTGGCAGAGGTAGGCAGCCTGGAGTTGGGGAGGGCTGGCCAGGAAGGTGCCGAGGGTCCCCAGGGAGGGCAGGGGGCCTCACAGGAGATGCTTTTGGGGGTGGAAGAGGTGATGGGCATGTCTGGAGAACAGAGGTGTCCAAGGGCAGGCACTGGTATGTGCCCGGACGCGCTGGGCAGTGATGACCAGGGATGGCCAGTGGGGATTTCCCCAGTGGGCAATGGGACATGGTGCCTAGGGGGAAGGATTGGAGGATTCTGGGGTGTCCAGAGGGGGTTGTGGGTGTTCCAGGGGTGAGCACAGACTAGGGGTGATCAGGGGTGAACTTGGGGAGTCTGGGGTAGGCATGGGCCAGGGGCATCCAGGGGTGGGGAGGTGCAGAGGATGTCTACGGCAGAAGGGAATTCCTGGGTAGACAAAAAGCATTGGCATCCAGGGTCCCAAGTTCTGGGCACAATGCCTTATTGCTAGACACTGTGCACCTGGACAGGGGTACTCAGCAGGGAAGAGAAAGGAGTCAGGCTCTGGCGTGTCTTCGACTACATGGCACGGTGGCACGGTCCCCTCCACCCACAGGAGTACTTGTACCGCTATGGCTATACCCGCGTGGCCGAGATGCAAGATGAGAAGGTGTCTCTGGCTCGAGGGCTGAGACTTTTCCAGCAGAAGCTGAACCTGCCCCAGACTGGCGAGCTGGACAGCACCACGCTGGCGGCCATGCGCGCCCCGCGCTGCGGCGTCCCGGATTTGGGCGGCTTCCAGACCTTCGAGGGCGACCTCAAGTGGCACCACCACAACATCACATACTGGTGCGCTGCTGGGTCCTCCAGGGGGCGGGGAGGCCATCCCGCGGCCCGGCGGTGAACTCGTCCGGGTTTCACTGCTTAATTAATGTGCGCCTAGGGCAGCGGCTGCACCCCTGAGCCTCGGTTTCCCCTTCCCGGAAACGGGCTTCGCAGTCCTAGCCTACCCGCAGGGCGGATCTGCAGGTTCTCGGAGAGCAAGGCGACTGAAAGCGCTGTCTACATGAAAGCGCTCTGAAGGGCTCAGACGCGGGGTGTGGCAGCTGTCCGCGTCCTGGCCTCACGTCTTCCACCCCCTCCCCCCGCAGGATCCAAAACTACTCGGAGGACTTGCCCCGCTCGGTGATCGACGACGCCTTTGCTAGGGCCTTCGCGGTGTGGAGCGAGGTGACGCCGCTGACCTTCACCCGCGTGTACCTCGAGGACCTCAGGGACGCGAAGAACGTGGACATCGTCATCCAGTTTGGTTTCAAGGGTGAGGACACGAAAAGGGAGAAGCCACGAGGGCCCTGCACGGCGGGGCAGAGGGGGAAGGAAGCACACTACCCCACTCGGTCCCGGCCACCCCTCGCCCATGCAGCGCCCCCTGCCGCCCGGCACGAGGCTTGGAGAGCAGCGCACTGGCGGGTTCCAGCCTACACTCGACCCCTGGGGCGCGCACGCTCTGAATCTGGATCCTGCTAACTCCCTTCCTTGGCACCCCCTTCCTCAGAGCACGGAGACGGGTATCCTTTCGACGGGAAGGACGGGCTCCTGGCACACGCCTTTCCTCCGGGCCCCGGCATTCAGGGGGACGCTCACTTCGACGATGACGAGTTGTGGTCCTTGGGCAAGGGCGTCGGTGAGATCCTAAGACATCCCAACTCCTGGCTCCCTTCTCCCCGCAGAGCCCTCACCAGCCGCCCTCACCCCGTCTTTTCCCTCCCGCAGTGGTTCCCACCCGCTTTGGAAACGCAGATGGCGCCCCCTGCCACTTTCCTTTCACCTTCGAGGGCCGCTCCTATGCCGCCTGCACCACGGACGGCCGCTCTGATGGCTTGCTGTGGTGCAGCACCACGGCCGACTATGACACCGACCACCAGTTCGGCTTCTGCCCCAGTGAGAGTGAGTGGGCAAGGAGTGGGGGCGCCCACCACCCTTGAGGGGCCGCAACCCTGGGTTCTAATCCCAGCTCTGCTACTAGTGTGTGGCCTACGAGTCACTCCTGTTCCTGTGGGCCAGTGAACTCGTGGCACCCCCGGGTGACAGTGTGGGCTTCCCTAGAACTCTACACCCAGTACGGCAACTCGGATGGCAAGCCCTGCGTGTTTCCGTTCATCTTCGAGGGCCGCTCCTACTCGGCTTGCACCTCTGACGGCCGCTCGGACGACTACCTCTGGTGCGCCACCACCGCCAATTACGACGAGGACCAGCTCTTCGGTTTCTGTCCCACGCGAGGTACTTCCACCCTGCCTACCAGGCTCAGCCCCGCCCCCTGGTGCTGCATTGGTCCCGGAAACGTGGCTCCTCCACCCATCAGTTTGTCTCACCACACCTCATTGGTCCTCCGGACCGCCGTGACTCCGCCCACAGCCACAGTTCCTCCCCCTGACTTCCAATTATCCCGCCCCATCCACCGCCACTTGGCCTTTCTGCTCAGCCTTCAGCCTCGTCAGTGGCTCCTCCCCCAGGCCCCGCCCACCGCCCTTGCCCTGCCTTAGCAGAACCCCACAAAGCCCTCTAGGCCTTTTTATTGGGTCACCAAGACTCTAGATCCTTCTTTGGCCTGCCCCTGGATCCTTATTGGCCAGCCCATCCGGCTCACCCAAGGCCCTGGGTTTCTCCAGTTGACTCCACAGTGATCGGGGGCAACTCGCCGGGGCAGCGGTGCGTCTTTCCCTTCGTCTTCTTGAACGAGAAGTACTCGTCATGTACCAGGGAGGGCCGCAGTGACGGGCGCCTCTGGTGCGCCACCACCTCCAACTTCGACAGCGACAGGAAGTGGGGCTTCTGCCCAGACCAAGGTGGGTGGACTTCCAAGGCTCGGGGCTTGTGGAGTGCGACCTTGGAGGTAGTGATGGTGGGGCTGGGGGACCGGCCCGGAGCTCAGGTCTCAGGCCCTCTTTTCTTTCAGGATACAGCCTGTTCCTTGTGGCGGCGCACGAGTTCGGTCACGCGCTGGGCCTAGATCATTCGTCGGTGCCGGAGGCGCTCATGTACCCCATGTACCGCTTCACCGAGGATCCCCCACTGCACGAGGACGACGTGAAGGGCATCCAGCATCTCTATGGTGAGGCTATGGGGCAGGGATGGAGAGAAGGGCGTGGCTCTGCCATAACCTGGAGAATGGGCCCCCAGCATCCCATGGAGCGCCGGGGGTCCAACCCCTGCTGGTCAGTGCTCTGGGATGGTGATTAAGAGGCCAGACTATAGGGCGAATGAGATACACTTGTGTTTGAAAGCCAGGCCAGCCACTTCCTGACTAGGTGACCTTGGACATGTAACTTCACCCTTGAGTGCTTCAGTTTCCTCATCTGCAAAATGGGATTAATAGTACCTGCCTCATACGGTTGTTATGAGGATTGAATGAGTTAGAACAATACCTGACACATAGTAAGCACCACTGATATTTTTGTTATCACCTGTCATTACCAAGGTATTATTTCCTCATTATAAAAATGGGAATATTGAAGTATATGCTTTGTAGGGTTTTTGTAGGCTCTAATGAGCCAACGTGCATTTATAAAGGTTTACATTAAGTTTGGCACATGGTCAGCTCTCCAAAAAAAAAAAAAGCCCTTCTTTTTTTGCACCAGCCTTGAAAGGGAGGGGGTTCTCTCTGAATTGTGTGCCCTGACACAGCCCAGGGATTGGATAAATGTGGTTTGAATGAACAGTAAGTGTATGAGAGGAAGTGGCCTGCCTGTGGCTGTGGTAGGTGCTAACATCCAGGGGAGGTGGAGAGGGCGTGCCAGGTGGAGGCCCACTGGCAGGCCTCTGTGAGCACAGGAATGAGGGGTGGAGACAGGAGTATCTTATTTGGTGCGTTTTTTTAGGTCCTCGACCTAAACCTGAACCACGGCCTCCAACCACCACACCTGAACCCCAACCAACGGCTCCCCCGACCGTCTGCCCCACGGGACCTCCGACTGTCCTTCCCTCAAAGCGCCCCACTGTCGGCCCCACTGGCCCCCCTTCAGCTGGCCCCACGGGTCCCCCCACTGCTGGCCCTTCTGAAGCCCCCACAGCACCTTTGGATCCAGCAGAAGACATCTGCAACGTTAACATGTTCGATGCCATTGCAGAGATAGGGAACCATCTGCATGTCTTCAAGAATGGGTGAGGGGGCAGGGATGTGTGGTTGAGGGAGGGGCTTGGAGAGGGCACCTGCCTGTCCCTCCCCTGTCGCTGGCCCTCTATTCAAGGCTCAGTCCCTGCCTCTCCTCTTTCACGTTCCCAGGAGGTACTGGCGACTTTCTGAGGGCAGGGACCGGGTGCAGGGGCCCTTCCTTATCTCGGACAAGTGGCCGCAGCTCCCACGAAAGCTGGACTCTGCCTTTGAGGACCCCCTCACCAAGAAGGTTTTCTTCTTCTCCGGTTAGTTTCCACTTCTCCTTCCCTCTCTCGGTCCCTCACCAGTGAGGAGGATAAGCCATAAAACATCTTTGTGCAGATTAGAAAAAGGCATGCCTCAGGAAGTTTATAAACAAAACCCAGTTACCATCAAGTCATTTCCAACTCATGGTACCCATGGAGATCAGAAGAGAACAGCACTCTACAGGTTCTTCAATGGCTGTGATCTTTTTGGATACTTCTAAAAGATTGCCAGGCCTTGCCTCTGAGGTCCCTCTGTTGTTGTTATGTGCCATTGAGTCGGACCCTACTGATAGCGATCCCTCCTTGGGTTTCCCAGTGTCACTACGGTATCACTACAGACATAGATTGCCCAAGTTTTCTTACAAGGAGTGGCTGGTGGGTTTGAACCGCCAGCCTTCTGGTTAGCAGTCAAGTGCCTTAGGCACCTCTAGGTAGGCTCAAACCTTCTTCAGCTTCCACATCACCAATGTTAACTGTTCACACGACCCAGGGCCGCCTTAGGGAGTTTATCGGGGACTGAATCTCAGCCTTCCTCACAGCGCACCCTTACAACGGCTCTGTCCCTTGGGTACAGAGAGTGCAGTGCTGGAACATGGGCCTGGAAAAGCCCTCCCTGGGCCCGCCCTCCTCACATTTAAGGATAATACGGGCCCCCTCTCAGGCCCCCAGACCGACGGGACCCTTTTCTCCTGCAGGGCGCCAGGTGTGGGTGTACACAGGAGCTTCGGTGCTGGGCCCGAGGCGGCTGGACAAGCTGGGCCTGGGCCCGGAAGTGTCGCACGTCACCGGTGCCCTTCCGCGCGGCGGGGGTAAGGCGCTGCTGTTCAGCCTGCAGCACTTCTGGAGGTGAGAGCCACGGCGGTCGCCGGCAGGGGGAGCCCGGGCGCCGTCCGTCTGCCCGCCGGCTCAGCAGCCGCTGTCTGCTCGCTGTAGGTTCGACGTGAAGACGCAGACTGTAGATCCCCGGAGCGTCAGCCTAGTGGACCAGGTGTTCCCCGGGGTGCCCTTGAACGCCCACGACATCTTCCTGTACCGAGGTGAGGGTGTGCTCTACGGACGGGGGAGGGTCTCTTTCCTCGTTTCTGGGCTCCCCCCTGCCTCAAGAGTTGGTCAAAGTCTGGGCAAAGCTGTTGGAGATTAAGGCAAATACCGCAGCAGCACGGGTGAGATCCCTAGAGCGACAGAGACCTTCCCCCAGCCGTACAGGAAGTCAGGGACACAGCCAGGACTAGGACTCAAATTCCCTCCCTCCCCAGGTGGAAGTGCTTCCGCCCCACCCCCCACCCCCAGTGTAGGTCACACGGTTTGCATAGAGTGCGTTCCTTTATTAAACAATATTTATCAAGCCTTTATAATGTGGTGGGCACTGTGCTGCACTGGGGATGGAGTGCTACATACGACAGTCTACAATTGTGTGAACTGTGTCTTGGGACAAGTTGCTGCCACCGTCTGAGTCTCAGTTTCCCCATCTGGAAGATGCAAGGATGATTGGAGTTATCCCTGCTTTCCCTTCTCTCACTGCTTACATTCAGTCAGCTGGTCAGTTTTGTTGACTGCCACCAAAACGTTTTTCAAATCCGATGCTTTTCACCATCTCTTGCTAACACCTTTGTCCAAGCCGTAATGGTTGTTCAGTATTGCTAATGTAGTCCCTGGGACTAGGGACGGGTTAGGGGTGGAAGGCAGTGGCCTTGGGGGTGACCTCAGGCATTCCAAGGTCAAAGAAACCAACATGATCTGCATTCCACCCTCCATCCTCATCTCCTCCCATTACTCCTGTCATTCACTCTGCTCCGCCCACACTCAGCTTCTGGCCTGATCATGTCTAGGTGTCAGGTCGTTCCTGGCTTAGGGCCTTTGCACCAGTTGCTCCCTCTGGAAGGCTCTCCTGGAGACTGCTACCTGGCTGCCTCCCCCTCCCCCTTCAGGTCTCAGCACTAAGGCTACCTTGTCAAGAGAGGGCTTCTCTGACACTCATTATCATTTCATTTATCCTCTTTTATTCCCCTCATAGCTTTTTACATGATCAAAACCAATCCAGCTGACTTACTTGGTTGCTTGTAAATCATCTGTCTTGCCCCACTAGTGTGTAAGGACTAAAAGAACTGAGATCATGACTGTATTTTTTGCTACTGTATCCCCAGTGCCTGAAACAGTGCTTGGCACATAGTAGGTGCTCAATGAATATCAGTTGAATAGATGAATGAATTTGTTGAATGAATGAGTACCTGATGAATGAATTGTTCTAGGCATTGAAATGCGTCAGCCATTCATTCGTTAGTTCACTCACAAAATGTCTGCTGAGCACCTACTGGGTGCCAAGCTCTGTGCCAGTGCTCTGGCGTCTCACACACAGGTGAGGAGATGGACGTGTTATGTGAAAACTGTGGGAAGATCTAGAAAGGGGAGGAGGGATGAATGAAAAGATCTTGTTCCTGTTTCTGAGTGTGGATACAGGGGGCTGGGATCACCCGCCTCATATCGGCCTTTCCCCTGCAGAGAAAGCCTACTTCTGCCATGACCGCTTCTACTGGCGTGTGAGTTTCCGGAATGAAGTGAACCAGGTGGACCAAGTGGGCTACGTGACCCTAGACCTCCTGAAGTGCTCTGAGGAGTAGGGCTCCCCACTGTGTATTGGCAGTGCAGTGAAGGGACCCCATGGGGACCACCCTCAGTGGGGGAGGAGCCAGTTTGCCGGCTACAAACTGGTGGGTGGGTCTATTTTTCAGGACTGGGAGCAGCAGAGGTGGGCTGGCCCCCTCCTCTCACCTTCCTTTTTTGTTGGAATGTTTCTAATAAACTTGGATTCTCTAACCTCAAGAAGCACATATGTGTGTATGTGTGTATTTACTTAACGGATAGAGTGCTGTATGTCAGGCAGTGTTCTAGCGTTTTATAAATATTACTATATTCAGCCCTTAAGGAGCCCTGGTGACACAGTGGTTAGAGCTCTTGGCTGCACACCAAAAAGTTGGCGGTGTGAAACTACTAGCTATTCCAAGGGAGAAAGACGTGGCAGTCTGCTTTCATGGGAGTGACAGTTTTGGAAACCCTATGGGGCAGTTCTGGTAGCATAGTGGCTAAGACACTTGCCTGCTAACCAGACGGCTGGCGGTTCAAACCCACCAGCCACTCCTCGGAAGGAAGGTTGGGCAATCCTACTTCCGTAGTGATACTGCCTCGGAAACCCAAGGAGGGGTTGCTACGAGTCGGGGCCGACTCGACGGCACATAACAACAACAACATGGGGCAGTTCTACTGTGTCCTGTAGGGTCACTATGAGTCAGAATTAACTCAAGGGCAATAGGGTTTTTTTTGTTTATTCAATCCTCAAGAGAAAAAAAAAAAAAAAACTTGCTCTTGGGTCCATTCTGAGCCATGGTGACCCCATGGGAGTCAGAGCAGAAGTGGGCTCCACAGGGTTTCAGTGGCTGATTTTTCAGAAGCAGGTCACCAGGCCTTTCTTCCAAGGTGCCTCTGGGTGGACTCAAACTTCCAGCCTTTTGGTGAGCAGCTGAGCATATTAACTGTTGGCACCACCCAGAGACTCCATTTGATCCTTACAACTACCCCATTAGGAAAGTGTGTTAAGATTATTCCTAGTTTATCACCAAGGAAGTGGCTTACTCTCATCAATCATTTTTGGGGGCCCTTACATGGAGCCGGGCCCTGTGTTGGGCACTGGAGATTAAGAGTCATTCGTTAAATCTAAGCCTCAGTTGCTTAAACATCTTACCCTAGTATAGGGTTTATCAACCTCAGCATTATTGACATTTGGGGCTGGGTCATTCCTTGTTGTTGGGGGCTGTCCTGGACATTGAAGGATGCTTGGTGTCTTCCCCCAGGATATGGTAGGGAGTGGGCAGGGATCTGTAGCCAGGTGCTAGACCAATTTAGGGTCTGTCTTCCCTGCTCCCTGCTGTGGCCCCCGTGGGAGGCACTGAGGTGACAGTGAACCTGTGGCTTATGACCAGGTAACCTTGGTGCAGGTCAGGATCAACCAAGCGGCCTCTACACACTGGAAGTTAGCATTACCTCCACTGGTTGTGACAACCAAAAATGTCAAAACATTGCCAATGTCCCCTGGCAGGCAACATTGCCCCCAGTTGAGAACCACTGCTCTAGCATAATCAACATCCAGACAAATGCACCTGTCACAAGTGTACATTTTCAAAAGAACACAACTGTGTAACCAGAACCCAGATCAAGAACCAAAACATTATCAGCACCACAGAAGCCCCTTCATGCCCTTTGTAATCCCTACCTCTTTCCAAGAACAGCCACTATGACGACTTAGATAGACTGATTGTCTTTGTACTTTATTAGTGTCATGCAGTAAGTACATAGTCATTTGTGTTTGACTTCTTTTGTTCAATGTTATATATGTGCAATTCATCCATACTGTTCTGTGAATTGTAGGTTGTTGTCATTACTGTGTAGTATTCCGTTGTGTGAATGTACCACGATTTATCCATTTTACTGTTGATGGGTCTTTGGGTAACTCCCCATTTGGGGCTATTATGAATAATGCCATGAACATGCTTGTAAATGACTCTTGGTGAACACATGCAGCCACCTCTTTGGGGGACATGCTTAGGAGTGCAACTGCTGGGCCAAAGGTTATGTGTATGTTCAGCTTCAGCACATATGACCAAACAGTTCCCAGGGTGGTCTTGCCCATCTCCACTGCCACCAGCAGTGAATGAGTTTTCAGGAGTCCTCCTTGACTCCTCCCTTTCCATCACATGCCACACCCAACCCATCAGCAGGTTCTGTTGATTCTACTTCCCAAATATGTCTGGAACCAGATGATTGCCACCACTCTTGTCCGGCTGCCGTCCCCTCTCACCTGGAGGTCTTCAGGAATCTCCTAATTAGACCCCAGCCTGCACGCCTGCTCTTTACTGGTGTCTTCACCCAGCAGCCAGACTGATCCTATTAAAATATGAATCAGATCACACTCTTCTGCTCCAGAATCTCCAGTGACTTTCCTTTGGGATTAGAAAAGAATCCAGCCTCCTCCCTGAGACCCTCAAGAGACCACATGATGTGCCTGTCTCTCCTTCATCTCTCACTCTCTGATCCGTTTTCCCCTGGTCTTACTGCTTCTTGAATAGTGTAGGCTCCTTCCTACCCCAGGGCCTTTGCACTTGCAGTTTCTTCCTCAGCCAGAGAACTCGTGCCCCAGGGCTTTGCATAGCTGGCTCCTTCCCACCTGTCACCTCTCAGCTCAACTATCACATCTGGGAGACCTTCTCAGTTTTCAGTCCATTGCCTAATGGAGCCTTTCCCCCAGTCTTATCCCATGGCCCTACTTTCTTCTTTTCTGAACATATACCACAATCTAAAGTTATCTTGTCTATGGCATTGTGATGGTTTTCTCTCACACCTCACCAGAATTTAAGCTGCAGGAGAGCAGGAAGCCAATCTCATCCACTGCCATAGCTCCAGTGAAACAAGGTGTTATCAATATGTGTTGAATGAATGAGTGAGCCCCAGATGTTTAGGAGAACCTAGCAGAGACAGCTCGGGGCTCTGGCGGCCACACACTAGGTCCCTCTGTGTAGGAACGGCTCTCAGCTGCGGGTGGGCTCCTCAGGAGTTTCTGGTGGGATAGACAGCCCAGGGCCTACGAGCGGGGTTCAGGGAGGTTCAGCTGAGCGGGCACTAGGACCCTGCGTGGCGCCGTGGCGAGCCGGGGGGCGGCGGGCGGGGGGATCAGCTCTTTCTCCCTCTCAGAGCCTGGCTGCGGCCACTTGTACGATCTGGGCCCGCGCTGTGGCTGCCTTCTCCCTTTCTGCGCCATGAACCGCAGGTTCACCGTCACCTCGCTGCACCCTGCTGTGTCCGCCGGGATACCTGACTCCGGGTCCGGCCGGCAAGCCGCCGCAGACCTCCGCCACGTCCCACGGGAAGACGCCAAAGGTAGAGGCCGCAGGGGGCGGGGCCGGAACCCGCGGAGGAAGGGGGCGGGACCTGCCTAGGGGGCGGGGCTAGATGAGGGGCGGGCGTGGGGGGCGGGTCTCCTGTTGAAAGGGGCGGGGTCCGGGCTGGGGGTGAAGGTCCCAGCAGAGGGTAAGAGAGGAGGGGAGTCTGGACCAAGGAAGGGAGGGGCGGAGCCTAAGGAGTAAATGGGCGGGGCTAGTAATAGGGGGCGGGGTCACTGGAAGAGGGTGGGGCCAGGAAAAGAGTTGGGATCACAGGCCAAGGAGCTGATCTTGTGATGATGGCTGGAGGGCACTGAAGGAGCGGGAGGGTGGGCCTCGAGTAGGAGGTGAGACCAGAGTACGAGGTGGGCCCAGGGAAAGGAGAAGGAGTGTGTTTGAGGGAGTGGATCCAGAAAATAGGGAAAGGGGAGGGACTAGTTCGTTTAGAGGGTGGGAAAGGTCGTGACCATAGGGGAAGAGGTTGGACCAGGAGGATGGGCTAGGACCAGGGCTGGGAGGTGGGATAAGGGCGCGAGGAACAAAAAGCGTCCGGGTCGATGAGCCAAGTGTTCAGCCAGCGGGTCATTGGTGCCTGGCGCGTCCCTGGAATGTCGCAGACAGCGCCTGCTGATCCCAGGAAGAAGATGGGAGACCGGGAAATTGGTTTGGATCATGGGCAGCCAGATCCAGGGAGGATCCTTGGGGGGGACACCAGCCCCGACCCACGAGAACCCACTTAGCTTTCTGCTTCAGCTCCCAAAGGGTTGGGAGGAACCAGCTCAGGAGGGGTTAGAAGCGTTGTCCTCTCAGGCCAGGTGCACTGGTTCCTACAAGGGTACGGAAGAGGGCGGAAGGGAAGAATCATTTTAGACTTCATCAAAGAGATAGCATCTTGGCTGCACTTACAGGCTCCCCGGCAGGGGCCACTTATCAGGGGTCGCCTGCCTGGCTCTGCGCCCCACTAGTCTGGAAGGAACTAGGAGAGTTGGCTTGGAGTGGCCCCAAAACTGGGAGGAGGAAGAGCCTCCCTGGGCCACCAGGGGTCGCTGCTGAGCCGCAGGTGAGCTCGCCCTGACCCCAGCAAAACCCAAACGTCACAACCCTGAGGGGCCCTTAGAGATTTCTTAGGCGAACTCCCTCCTTGTATAGATGACCACCTCCAGGCCTACACTTTCCTGGGCTGGAGTTCCATGAATTGCCCGTCGGCTGCACGTGGCTACTCGGTTTCTTGGGCTCTTTCTGGTCTTGACCTTCCCCATAACTTGTCTACCCCTTTTCCCACTTTCAGGAATGGCCTTACTGTCCTCCCAGGATTGAAAGCCATACATCTGGCAGCCATCCTCAAGGCCCCCTTTTCTCATTGCACCAAATCTTGGCCACTTCCTCTTCACAACTTATCCTGAATCTGGCCACATCTCCCTATTTGCGTGTCACCATCTGCGGCCTAAGGCTCCAATCTGTCTCACATGATCATGTCCACAGCCTCCTCACGGGTCTGCCTGCCTCCAGTCCTGCCTTAACCACTCTCCATACAGATTCCCAATCCCTTGTAGGATAAAGACCAAACTCCGTGTTCTTCCATTCAAGCTCTCTCCTCATCTGCTCCTGTATGCCCCCTCCCCCACTAGCCAGGGAAACTCCTACTCACTCTCTAAGTTGCAGCTCCTTCAATGTCTTCTGAAGTCCCTCTT